GGGGCCGGCCTCCCGCTGGCCGGGCGTCAGGCGGCCGCCGCTCCTGGGGGAGAGGGACCAGGCCTGGGTGTCCGGCGTGTAGGGGCGCTGAGCGATTGAAGCAGGGAGCTTTGCCGAGGGCTGAGCGAGGCCGGCAATCCCGCCCTGCGGGTGCACCCCTTCCCCAGGCGGTCCCGCCAACCCCGCTGAGAGACCCGCTGCGTTAAGACTCGGAAGACTCGATCACGGGAAAGGCCAGGAGACTGGCGGTGCCAGTTGTCCAGAGCCCCCGCTTCGTCTTTCCGTCGTGGTGGAATCATGGGCGACCGCCGGAGCCAGGGTCAGCAGCTGGCAGGGATTCCAGCAAACACAACAGTTCTGCCATGCGCGCAAGTCCACAGCTCTAGGGTCCTCCTGCTGTTTCTCAGCTAGCCCCAAGGCCCTTTTCTTCCCTTTGCCCTCAGGAATTCCCCTCAAATCTCGTCCAACAGCCATCTCTTCCCTTTGTAATAAACTACAGCCAAGTCATCCTCCAAAAATTACAAGCAAAGAAGGAAACCATTTCAGCGGCTTGCGTTGTGTGTTTATGAGGCATTTAGTAGATGTGACTTGGTGGAGCTAGAGATGACGTGTGTGTCACAACTCATTGGAGGGAGTGGGTGTGTTGAGGACTCATACAAGACCTATTTGAGGATTATGGACTATTAACCTGAATTTAAAATCTGGCACCTATATGGTCACTGGGTCCCATGCTGCTGTTTGTAACAAGATAAACTAAGATTCAAAGCATAGCATTTACATATCCTTGGAGAAAAAGAAAAAGGGGATAGCAACTTCTCTAATTTTTCCTGACTTGCTCACCTGACAGCCTAAGATTTTTCAGGGTTTGGGGAAAAAGGAGTAGGCAATGCTAGAGAAAACAGCAAAGAAGTAGCAGGGGACTGACCAAATGTCTGGTCTGTGCGCACTGTGGATCAACCCTATTCCAGTATAAGACAGATAGATGCTCATTGGTAGCCCAAATCCCATAAACAGAGTCCCCTATTCCCAGCCACCAATGCCTGGATCGAAGTTAAGGGACCAATCTCTACCACTGCTAGAGAATCTAACACCAATTTTTAAGAGTGGGATGAATCTTGGCAACTGTGAAAGTGGTAGACACATTTTGAAAAGTGTTATCTGCACGTTTCAATGTAGAGAGGTTTGGGATTGACAGACGTGTGGAAGCAGAGGCTCCATCACTCCTAGGCTGCGTAGCCAGGTGTCCAGGGAGGAGCCTACAACCCGGAAACTGGGAGGGGCTTTTTAATAATTACCTGTCCAGCTTGCAAGCTGACGACAGGATCTGCAAGACCACGTTTGAGTTAAAAGAGGAGCTTGAAGAAAAAAAAGAAGAAGAAGAAGATAGCAGGAGGGGAAGAATGAAGGGGGGTAAGTCGGAGGGGGAGACGAACCATTAGAGCGATGGACTCTGAAAAACAAACTGAGGGTTCTAGAGGGGAGGGGGGTGGGGGGATGGGTTAGCCTGGTGATGGGTATTAAAGAGGGCACGTTCTGCGTGGAGCACTGGGTGTTATGCACAAACAATGAATCATGGAACACTGCATCAAAAACTAATGATGTAATGTATGGTGGTTAACATAACAATAAAAAAATTATTAAAAAAAATTTATACTAAACAAGTATAAAACAATAAAAATTGTTCAAATTTCTGTTGTCCCCTAAAAAAAAAAAAAAAAAAGAGGAGCTTGACTAGAAAATGCTGCTTTCACATCCCTTCTCTGGTGCTTCTTCTCAAACAGAGTAAGTCTAGGAGGGGAACTTTCTGTGCGGGAACTCTGGCAGCCCTTTGACAGTTCAAAATGTCACTGTGACCTTGTAAGAACAGTAGATGAAACACAAAGAGGAATCTGACTCATCTGACTCATAAATCAGCTTTGAAGATCTAATGAAGAAAAAAAAATCTGTCCCAAGGAGTAGGTATATTTTGCATCTTGTACTCAGTTGGACCAAATCCCCAGGCTTTCACTGCACTATTATAGGTTCTCTGAATTTCTTATGCACCAATTAGATTGTTCTTAGACTTAATCAGTTCCCATGTTTTATGCACTTCTCCACTTGATCGGCAAGTCCTATGGTAAACTCTGGTTTTATTTATGGTAGCATTGCCCATTAGGTTGCTCCAAAGTTAAGTACTATTTTAAAAGCTTTTTGCTTAATGATAAAGCTAAAGCTGGCATCACTGATAAATAAAAACAGAAACACTTTTGTAGGGTGCCTTTGAAGTGGACCTGCCCCTATAAAAGCCCTGAAAACGGGCAGTAAGTGACCTTTCTGGAAGTCGCTTTAAATAGCATGCACTAGACAAGGCAAAGGTCATGGTCTTGGTGTGAAGATAAGACCTCTTTTTTCACCAAGGCAAGAAAAATGTGTGTGTGTCGGATTCGACAAGGACTGCGGCAGGACCGGAATAGTCTGAGGAGCTGGGGCTTGGGAGAAAGTGAGTTCACAACATCTTATTTTCACTTTTCTCTAAACCAGTGGTTCCCAAACTTGGAGAATGTTTAAAAGACAGATTTCCAACACCTTTTTGTGCCCTCGTCCCCCACTGATTCAGCATCTCCAGGGGTGGACCCCAGAGCCTGTGTTTTCCAGTTTTCACAGGTGACTGACGGCAGCCAAGATCGTGGGCCCCAGCTGTCTCATAATGGCCGGTGTTAATTCCTGTGGCCTCTAATCCCTTTTGTTTATTTTAGCAAATGTCGCCCTCTGGTGGGATAAATTATGACTCAGTCTTTAAAGAGTTGGTGCCTCTTCATTTGTTTAAAACCCTTCAAAATTTCATTTAAACAATGATCGTGAGGTTGGTTTGCAGATAGCTATTTAGTGAGAGGGTAGCTGCCTTTGAAGGCGTCTTTCAATTTAAAATCAGTTTGATTAACATATAGTGTATTATTAGTTTCAGAGGTAGAATTCAGTGATTCATCAGTTGCCTATAGCACCCAATGCTCATTACATCAGGTGCTCTCCTTAATGCCCATCACCTGGTTACCCCATCCCCCCACCCACCTCCCGTCCAGCAAGAGTCCCTTATGGTTCATCCCCCTCTCTGATTTTGTCTTATTTTATTTTTCCCTCCCTTCCCCTATGTTCATTTGTTTTGTTTCTTAAATTCCACATATGAGTGAGATCATATGGACATTTATCTTTCTCTTGAAGGAATCTTGAAAGGAAAAGAAGCTGATAAAACCAAAAAGAGAGGTCATGGTTGACAGTTCCAGGAACATCTCAAAGGAACAGCATCTTTATCAGAATAAGGTGACTGACTTTTTTTGTGTTGCTGCTGCAGCTTTCAAACAGACTTGACCTTCCAGCACATGTAGGGTAGTTACAGGATAAGTAAAACAATGAGGCGAGAGTCTCTGGTAGCAAGTGAAATCTTTATCTCCTTCACGTCCTACCGTTTGAAGGGAAATTTAAGAAAAGCCACTGTCGCTGTGAGCAGTGTGTTTAGACAAACAGAACTTTGGCTCGTCCTGTTCCAGGATGACCAGATTTGAAAAGACTATGATGCTCTGAAGAATTCTTTCCCACAGAATCCAACCCAAAGCACACTTTCTTGTGCCGCAAAGGGGAGTGTTCCTCATTGTCGCTGTTAAGAGTTATTGGCAGTTTGCTATTGTTTGAGAGAATGTGCAAGTACACGCTTTATGGGATCAGCTCACGTTACCTGCACAGCAGTTCCAGAGGTAGGTGTTATTCGCCCCGTTTTACAAATGACACATTGAAATGTTAAAAGGTTTACGGTCTGGTGGGGGTAACACATAGCGAGCAAGAGGCACGACCTGGATTAGGACCCAGCTACGTACATGATGTCAGAGTTCATCTGGTCAACCCCAGGGGCTATGACATGCTGCTTGTTATTCTTGCTTCTCCCACAGCATGATGACAAGGTACTATTATCTGACCTGTAAACATAGTTAGGTGCCCAGCTTGGTGTTTCCCTGAAGTACTGAGAGCAACCAGAAATTCGTACAAATGTGTGGTGATGAGGGGCATTGCCTCAAACAACATGTAAGCCTCCTGGTCTCATCTGGGGGTTGTGCAAAAGAATGTGAGTGATAGAGCAGCCATGTGGGAGAGAAGGGTGAGCTTCCTCCTGGGAGTTCTGCCCTGTGAGATAATTCAGTCTAATCCTGACTGATTATTTGTTCACTTGCCTGCGAGCTGCCATATTTCACACCCAGTCATACCAAGTCTGTATGCCACCATGGGAAAGTGTCCACAGTGTAACCGTTTATCAGATATGAATATTCTCCAAGAGCCAACGCAGCACCAGTATGAAAATAGCTGTCCTCTCAAAATGCCTCCACTTCCCCCCTGGCCAGTCCCTCCTACTGCCCTGGGGTCTGGCTTATTTCCACAGAACTCTCTGGAAACTTCCTTCAGGCAGCTCGTAAACATTCCTCCTCTTATGAAACCCCAGTGGCCATGCTTCATCTAGTTTTTCCTGGGCCTCTCTTCAGATGTGTTAACAGTTCTTCTTTCTGAACTTTCCCTCTCTGGGTGTTACCATTTTCTGGCTCTTTTTCCTCCTTCTGGACTGTGCTTCTCATAGCTTAATAGTAGACCTTACCGACTCTCTCTCCTTTCTCCTTAGAACTCATTCACAGACATAACCGGA